CACTTCACAATATCACAATTTATACTCCAAAAAAATTACCGTTAACAAAAAAAAAAAAAAATAAGATTCAGAACGGTCTAGTGACCGTTCTGAACGCTACAAGCTGCAAACCTGCAGCTGCAGCCGCAATTTTTATTTTTTTCAAGCCGGGCCGCGGGTACACCTTGAATTGACCCGGGCCGGTTCAAGGTGCGGGCAGCCCAAGATTCGGCCCACACGGTTCGTGGGCTGAATCGCGGGCCGGTTCACCTCCAGGCCCGCCCATCTTGATAAGCCTACAAAAACCCTTGATGGAGTTGTAGTTAGTGGTAATGGAATGGTACCTTGTTTGAGGTTTACAAGATCACGGTGGAGGCGATAGAGGCGGGATGAGTGCTTTGACAAAAACGGTTGTCCAAATCAGCCCAAACGTTAGACGATTTTGAATGATAAATTAAGCTTTAGCGCAGAGATTTATCAATCAATTGAAGAGCCATGAGAGTATCATATCATTGCAACAATCTCATAGTGTAGTAATTGAAGAATCTGATGGTTTTTTTAGAGAACCATCGATGAAAGCAACCTTATTTTTGACATTAAGGGCCATACGAATTGAGCATTTCCAGGTGACATAGTTATCGGCCGTAAGGAGGTCGAGCACTAAGACAATGTCGAGATTGTCAACAGGGGTCAAGAAGTATGGTGAACTGAGTCATTGATCAATTGAGAAGGAGTTTAGGTAATAGTCATGGTGAAGGAAGCAAAAACTTATGCCACTGGAAGAAGCTGGAAGAAGATTTTTTTTTTTACTGGAATTAGAAAATTATGCTGCTGGGATGAAAAAAAATGCTGCTGACGAGAATTTTGCTAGAGAACTAGTGTTGGCAGAATTTCTAATCTTACCGCTCTAATACCATAATACGAGAAGGAAGATGAATTGAAAAGAATGATTGTTATTGATTAATTTTTCTTATGATTACAATGAATATAGAACATATTTGTAGCTGTAGAATAAATCTATACATGGAATGAGTATAAACTATGCATGAAAGAGAATAAAAGTATACAAGGAAAATAATAATCTTGATTTTGTGTATATTGTGTAATATAAATGTCGGTGGCCTAAGCTTGAACTAGAAGAAATCCTAGCAACTTTGACCCTGTTTGGCATTTTACAAGAGTTCCCAATATGTTTCTCCATTCAAAGTGATTGGGATTGGCTTCTAGTTTTTGGTTGGTTAAGGTAATCAGCTTCTAATTTGAACCCACATAGCAAAGAACTAGGAAACATATATTTAGATTGAAATCGAACCCAAGAAAATCAAAGTAATTAAAGTTTTAAATTGGATTCGAAAATAACGAATCAAAATAACTAACAATACCCAAATGATATATTGACCCTTTTGATTGAATATTTGAGAATCATACCCGGTTGATTTGAACCCCACTAGAAGAATCTTGATAAGTTCATGATTTGTCCAACGAATAACAAGAATTCTAAAACAAATTTGACACTCAATAAATTTCAATAATAATGTTATGTGTTACAATGAAAAGAATGAATAATATTTATAGGAAACCCATAAAATCTAGCTAAAAATGGAATTAAGGTAAAAAAAAAATAGCAAAAGATATTGCAAAATTGAGTTTTAACTTAAATAGAAGATTACACGAAATTTGAAAAAATTCGCGACCAAAATGAACTATACTTCATCGTCTGTTGCTTGAATCATGATAATCCATCTAGTTTCTCCTCCTGAACCCAACACGAAACTTGTTCATTTGCTTGTCGTCCACCATAACTTGAGCCATCAATCCCATCGCCTCTTTCACCCACTTTGCTCTCGATCGTGTCATGGACCTCCTTCGATAATCAATAGACACTTTCCTAGGCTTGACTTTGATGCCTGACTCTGTGCTTACATCATTCCCTCCCTCTTCAAAATGATTCGTTCTCGAATCTGTACATGCATCAAAGAGAGAGAGAGAGAGAGAGAGAGAGAGAGATCAAATACATTAAAGTAGCTAAAACATTATACTCACCAGGAAGATCCAGCTTCTATGCATTATAATTGATTTTCTCGAGAACTTGAAAAGATCCAACTTCTCGTGGCTGCAACTTTTATTTCATTTGCTCTGGAAAGCACTTGTTTCTCAAATGTACACAAACCCAATCACCAGGGTTCAAATGAAACGCTCTTCTGGCCCCTGTTAGCTTGTGACGCACAATGCTTGTTTTTGTTTTCAATATGCAATCTCACTTTCTCATGGAGTGACTTCACCATCTCGGCCTTCTTTNGCGCGCAAGGAGCGAAAGAACCAAGTGTGCTGTGGTGATGGCCGAATTTTCCATGATTCTTTTTTGTACCCTTTTAGCGACTTTGCTTGACCAGGTCCGAAGGTTTTTTTTGCTGCAAACTCTGACTCTGGACTATATTGAAGTAGTAGAATGTATAGCCCTATTATATGCAAACTCAACGAAAGGTAAGTATTTTTCCCAACTTTTCAATTTTTTATTAACCACAGTACAGAACAATTGAATCATAGTCCTATTAACTACTTCGGTTTGTAGGTGACATGTAGTAGAATGTTCCCTTAACATATCTAAAGTCTTTGCAACCCCAAAGTGACCTATTAGTCCCCCATTGTATGCTTCTCTAACCAACCATTCACCCATGGAACAATTAAGAACACATAGTTTTCCCAAAACAAATAACCCTCATGCTTAAAGAATTTGTCTACTGCACCCTTATTACATGATTCATATATGCTGGAAAAATCTAAACCATTCACACACATGTCCTTAATGTACTCAAAACCAAACAACTTCGTACTTAAAGAAGTAAGAAGCACAAACCTTCGGGACAACGCACTGCCACCATATTTTCCTTGCCTTATTTGTACCAGGTTACGTAGGGAAATTCTCAATAAATTTCATCCATCTAGCATGCCTTTTGTCCAGCTTACCTTGACCCCGCAAATTCTTCGATGACTCATGATCAGTGTGAATCACGAACTCCTTTGGCCATAGATAATACTGCAATGTCGCAAAAGTTCGAACAATTGAGTAAAGCTTCTTGTCATATGTAGGATAGTTGAGCGCTGCTCTACTTAGCTTTTTATTGAAATAAGCTATCGGCCTCCTATCTAGCATCAAACTGTTCCAATGCCCATACCTGATGCATCACACTCAATCTCGAAAGTTTTGTCAAAATTACGTAGTGCTAAAACCAGTACTTCAAACAACTTATCCTTAATAGTTTGAATGCATGCTCTTGTTCATCGGCACATTAAAAACCTACATTCTTTTTAACAACTTCAGTGAGTGGTGTGGCAAATGTGCAAAAATCCTCTACAAATCGCCTGTAAAAACCAGCCAAACCATAAAAACTTCTTACCTCGGTTATACTTTTAGGTATTGGCCATTCTTTAATATCTTTTATTTTCTGTTCATCTACCTCAATTCCCTTAACATTAACCAAATATCCAAAAAACACAACATTTTCCGTGCAAAATGTGTACTTGTAAAGTTAGCAAAAAGTAGTTCTTTTCTTAAAACTACTAGCAC